ATTGAGGTTTTAGATTTTGAATCCGCTAATTTCATTAACGTTAATTACTTTTTTTGAAAAAACCCTTTGTTGAATTCGGATAAATTTACTCAATTTTTCAAAGTAAAATAATCCATCTACAAACATGTAATCAAACATTTACTGATATTGATATAATAAATTTATCGTTATTGTTTAACATACTATCAAGAAAACCTTTTCAATGTAATATTATATATATTAATAGAATGACTTGTACGATTCAACTATTTGTATCATAAATCAATATTAATCATTACTTTAATTTAAAGATATTATTAAAGCGCAATAAATTCAAGCAATAACGATAACAATTATTGGCTATGGATTCCTGTGAAACAAGTGATGTCGAATGGAATGATCCTGATAATACATATGTCTGGCTAGATAGCAATTTCAGTTTGGCAACTAATAATGTTAGTGAGACGTTTTCAGTATCTAATATCAATGATGATAATAGTTATCAGTTCCTTTTTAATTATAAAGCATTTCAAAAAACTCGTGAAAGTATACATAATATTGATGATAATGTTACTACGAATGACATAAAGAATGATTCATCATTTATAAGTTTAGAAAAAAATAGCAATGATTTTAATGCACAAGAAGAGGATTATGAAATTGAAGATATTTCATGTAAGAAATTAGTTTCATGCGTTGTTTTAGATATTTATGATGGAGAAATTCGACGTTGTCCTAATTATGAAAAACCTGTAAATCAGCTTCGGCCTCTTCGTCAGCTTGTTGGAACTTGGAAAATAGATGAATCAGTTGTTGATAAAAATAATCCTAAAAATATGGTGCATACTCTTGGTATATGTTTAGCACATTTTTCATTTGATCAAAATCGATTACACATGGCAGCAGCAAAACAAAAATGGTCAATTGAAAGTAGTTATATTCGATTACAAAGATGTTTATTTTGCAATAAAGATCATTATTTTTTTAGTCGAGGTATAACTTGTCAAGAACATTGTGTAAATATCAATGATTATAATATACAATTTTCCTGTATTGGACGTAAAGTATGTTCGGCATTTGTAAATAATAATCAATTAGTTGAGCAATTAACAACTTTAATAACTAAGAAACCAACTGCTAAGACATCAGTAAGATTCATTTGTTCTAAATGCTTTCAAAGCGAAGGTGGTCATCTGTTTAAGAGAAAAGAAACTGGTGTTAAAAGCTATATTTGCCATGACCAGCACATTGATAAAAATAAAAATGCACTTATTTTACTTGGACGATGGTTAACTGCTATTGCAGAATCTAATAATAAAGAATTAAAGCAAGATACTTTGAATGAAATGACTGTAGTTCTTAGTAAAACATATCACCCAACAACTAAAAATGATAAACAAAATATTACAAATCAACTAACACTAATGCCTAGCCTATTGTTGATAAAAACAATTATGTGACTTAGAAAGGTTAAAATCAATAGGTTGAAAGATGACTATCAATTAGAAAAATTATTAATTTCAGAGGATCAAAGCAATAAACTTGGTGAGGCATTTAGGCATGCTATATGGAATATATGATCAAATATAATTCAAAATAAAACAGTACTCGAGTCTCCTGAATCGTTTGACCAGTATCGTAATGGATTTCCAAATTTTCTTAGAAATTTTTTTGATAGCTTTATAACCTTCATACAAAAAAAAAATATCAAATTTGTTTGAAGAAGCAAAAACAGCGAAAAGGTAAAATTGAAGAATTTGATAGTGTATGACCCTTTAAAATTTCAGTTTTTTTTATGTCTACAATTCTTACTATGGCTTTCCCTAGTATTAATATTTGGCTTACATATACAATGAGTTCATTATGTAGAAAGCCCAACCTTTTATCCTCCTTATATCAAATTTTATGTATAGTAAACATTGTATCACATTCACAGCATCATGAAAGACGTCTTGAGAAAAGCCGATAAATATATTCAATTTCAACAACCCGATTACTTGAAGGACCCAATATTTGGAACATATGTATTTTAGACAATATTGATTTTATGAGGCGATCATTTAGTTTTAGAAATATCTATGATACTACTCGAATTACTACACATGCATGTCTACGAATGGTTTTTCAGTTTGAGTTGCCGATTCCTCTAGAGGAAATTTTTGCTAAAGCAAAAGCTTTACCGAAAGACTATTTATTTGAAATTGGTACTTCAATATTTACAAATCAAATGAATCTGAAATTTGAAAATACATTTCATAGTTTATTAACACGTGATGAAAAAGAACTTGACGTTGATAAAGTATTCGAAGAATTAATCAAACGTATAGCGATAAAACCAGGTTGTCAAGTGCCAGCACCAAATGTAGTTATTTTAGAGCTAGAGAATAATCCATGTTCGGATGAAGCAGTATATAAGGCTTGTAAGATGTTTTTTGATGATGTTGGAAAGAAAACTAATAGGCATGGCAAAATTGATATAGTTGCAGATGAAGCAATTTTTCAACGCTTAATTTCATATTATAAAAAATATCCGGATACTAATATTTTATTAGGTGCTTGGTACACGAATAAAGAAATATGTTACTGTTTTTTCTAGTTACAAAATTTTTGATTTGGCGGTGCATCTTGGTGTTCGATTTTTAGACAAGTTGGAAAAGGCAGTAGATTATGCAGCAACCTGCTGAGTATTAGAGCTTATTTGGATTGCAGTGGGACTTGCATTAAGTAAAGTTGCTCAAGATACTGGTCAAACCTTCACACAAATTTGAGAAGGTAATAATCAAATAATGAAAGTTTGGCTTTTTTATTTTGAATGGTGTGGTTATTGGATCAGGCACAAGATTGGAATTCAACATGGTAACTATCAAATGCAATTTCAGAATTTAGCAGCATTTGCACCACTCTTTGCTACTGTAGGAAATGCTATCTGTAACTTATTTTATAAGCTACTTATCAAAAGATTTGGAATTATGTTCATTACTTCATTATATTCTCTCAGTAAACTTAACAAGAATAGGGCATTTTTTCGCCTTCGATGAGGCACTTGAACGTTTTGGTGTTAAGTTTGTTAAAGAAAATATTGGGTCTTATTTAGGTAGTAAAGATGAGTTAAAATCACTGATAAGTTCAATTCAAACAGAAAGAGAATGTCTAGATCTCTTATTATGTAGTTATGTTGGTGATGATATAATAATTCCAAAAGATCGCAAAAAAATATCATGCTATATTATTATAAATAGCTTAAAATCTTTGTTAATTCAGGCATTTACCCAACAAAATTTTACTAAATTATTTAAAAATGCAACTGAGTATACGGCAGAAGGATTTAACAACCTTTTTACTTGTTATGACCTTGGTATTGAAAGATTAAAAAATATTCATTCTCAAGAAATTACAAAAGAAATTCCCTATACTGCTAAAGGACAAAGAGAAAAAAATGTACAAACTAACATGATTAGTCAACAGATTAAGACAGAAAAGCATCACAAAGAGATTGAAAAAACTAACCCGATCACTTCAAAAAAAGTATATCAAAATTTTAATTTAAATAATATTTAATTTTTTTTATTTTTTTAATTTTTAATATTAAATATTAGAGAACGTCAAGCAGAACCGCTCAACAACTTTACTAATGAAAAAGTAGAAAATGTGGCTAAAAGAAAACGACGACATCTGACAAAATCAGAACAAGAAATTTTTGCAAAATTAATTGAACTCGATGAATTATCAGCAGAAGAGATATCAAGGGTATTTGTAGAAATTTGTACTTTACCAGATACGAAGCCTGAAGATTGGGACATAAAAAGGATTCGAAGTATTTGGGGTCGAAAAAAATCTGCAAAAAAAAAAAAGCAGAATCTCAATTTAAGCAAAAGCGTGATTAGTTAAAATTTCAAAAATAATAAATATAAAATTTCCTTAATTTCAGCAAAGGATCTTGTGAAATTTCCATTTTTTTAGCTAGAAGACAATACCCTGTAATAAAGAAATCGTTATTCTAACGAAGTCATTAAATGTTAACTAAATGTTACTTTGAAACATAATTAATAAAGTTTATATATAATTTATTGAAGTTTCGATTTAATTAAAAAAAATAATTAAAGAGTAATCGATATATTTTGTGGTACTATACTTGTTAATCACTATTTAATTTGTTATCGTAGGACATGTCCAGTGATCATTAGTATTTACACGATTATTTATAGAGGTGGAATTCGGTTATCAGTCTGTTTTTAATTTATAATAAAAGTTATTATGAAAGTTGTAAATAAATAAATTGGATATCAGATATCTATTAAATTTAAATAAACGGATTTCATTTCTACATACGTACGTAAGTACATGAATCAATAATTAGTACTTATAGTATACAGTCTAATCTCTCTATAGTCCTATAGGGTTTTTACAAATCAACCTCCAATCAAACTTTAATTTGGTTAGAGTTTGGCATTAAAGTTTGAGTTTGATTTGCAAATTTTTTAGTTAAAATTTGATAATCAGAGTTTGGTTTGAAGTTTATCAAACCAGTTTGAATTTGAGTATATATAAGTGTATTTTTTGGTGCCAAACAAGTTTACTTGGAGCATGAAGGCAGAATTAATTAGTAAAATTTTAAATAATATTATATTACTGATAACAAGATTGTTTCCTAGAAGTAACTCTTTCTATACTCTTGTAAATCACTAAGTAAACAAAAAATACAAAAAACAAAGTTATAGTTGTGATAAAAATATATAACTAAATAATTAATACTGTGGCTTTTGTTGTTAATAAAGCAAAACTATAATAGCAAACACTTAATATTTCAACAAGAAAAAGGTTAGTAGATACAAAGACACCTCTTGTTTTTAAAACACTTTTGGCAATAGTACTAAACCACACCTATACTAACAAACAAATAGATATAACAAATACTAAACAAGTAGTACTTAAACTCTCTTTACTATCTTTTAAATATATCAAAATTATCTATTTAGCCTCTACAATCCATCTCACTTTACTTTCTACCCACTACTTACCTACTTCTCTCTATTACACATATTATATCAAGAAAAACCTACTGCACTTTCAAAATTCATCTATAATATCATATCAAAATCATATATCTAAACAAGCATAGGAGAATTAAAATTTATAACAAAAATAGATAACAATATTGGATTTGACTTTTAGATTTTAAAAGATTATTTTCAAAATAGTAAAATAAACAGATTAACATATTCAGAACTATTTTTGATTATCTCAAATATACTTAAACAAGTCACAACTCTGAAACTTAATCTCAACAACAACTCACTAGTTCTAAAAAATTTTATAAAAATCAATTCTTATATTCTTGACATATTTAGATATCTAGTCTCAAATATACTAGCTATAACTATATATAGTTAAACAAAAATAGCAACTATTTTTTAGTTTAATACTTTGCTATCTAAACCTTCTGCCTAGTTTAATTAGATAAAAACAGAAGATATTCCACCTTTTAGTATACAATCCTTAGATCTTAGTCTAGATAATAATAAAATATTAGTATATATAATTAAAGCACAATCTGGCCAGTTTAGCCAACTTATATAGAGGAGGTTTTTAGGATCTCAATGATAGTTAAATCATCCAAATTGGCTTGGTGGATTCCAAAATACTTGGGGTTAAAGGCACAAATATAGAGATCTGCAAAGTTACTGTTACATGAAGAACAATTGTCTAATAGATGATTTAGTGATTTAAGCCATAAGGTTTTAGTCGGCTAATCAGCTAGCTAAATACTATACTTCCAGAATTTTCAGTAAATTTAGCTTGTATTTTATATTTATTTATTTTCCTTTTTGGAATTTACCGGAAATCCTACTAAGTCAATCATTTGACTTAAAGAACATAGAGAAAAATTGAACAACTTTAGCTTAAGATCCTTTTAAAACTACTTGGTATTTAGTTCTATAATTTTTGTTAAAGAATCATTA